GTGAGGGCCCCTCGCTGCTCCCCAACCTGACGACAGCCGAGTTCCAGTCTTCCGTCGGTGACTTCATCCCCAGGGACATCTGAGTACGTACGCGCCGGGCTACCTCCACAAAGGTTGGAGCAGAAGTTTTTCACTCCTTAAGGTCCTGCAGCTCAGAAGCCAACATGTCCAGCTTAAGGCAGGGAATCCGTTTCGAGCAAGCGGCTAGAATCGGCTAGAACCTGTGCGTCCTAACGCGAGATTCTCCCTGCTACTTTTGGGCGCTGCAGCGTCTGTTTGAAAGTTTTTGGGGAGTGGTCGAGAAAGCACCTAAGTACTGCAATCCTGTATCCTGCTCCAGCTTGAATGGTTTCTGCATTGACCTCTTCGGTGCCCTTTGGGATCTCGTTTTCCTTGGCCTTCCCAGCTCCGACCATTAATCCGTGCGCATGCGGTGCAGGCCGCAATTGCCGCCAACAAAGGAAAAAGCCCGCTGAAGAGTATTTATTGTAACCGGAACCGGCCGACCGTAACAGAGCTTTGTAACCGTGTAAGAGAAACCTGCCCCGACATCGAACGCAAACCTGCTGGTTCCTATAACAGGGTGGGGACAGCCCCTTGTAGCAGGAACTGCGGTCAGGGGCTTAGGTTCGGCGCAGGGCTGCGTAGTTTGCGGCTTAGGGTCTGCACAGGCATTACCGCGCTGTGCGCTTTAGAGTCCTTCCTTATGTTGTTTTAAGGGATGTAGAAGGCATCTTTGGACGTTCTGCTTGGCCTGCCCTTCGGTGACCGTTTTTCGTTCTTCTATTTGTACGAATCATAAATAAAAGCCTCCTGCACAGTTTCCCGGTCTGTTACGCTGGTCGTTGCTGTTGCTGCGGCCACCCGTTTCAATTGCAAGTGTGCCAGATCGTTGTCCGTTGCTCCCAAAACGGTTCCCGACACTCCCCACACCATGGTCATCCGCTACTCATGTAAAAGCCAGCCGCTCTTGCAGGCGTTCCACGAGCGCGCGTGACTTTCGAAATGCGAGTGCCGAAACAACAGCTGCGCATCTCGCAGTTGGGTTGTTGGAATCGGTGGCCTAAGTTGGCAGGATCTGCGACAGGCATGCACGCGTTGCGCCACACATGCTTGTCGTTGAATTGGTGAGCCTGCCTCCGTCGTGCATTCTCCGTCATAAATGCCCCAGACAGCCTACTCTTGTTCTGTCTATAGTGAGTCAGTCGATCACGAAAGGATTCCAATCTGGACTCATATATCAGTCAGAACTCGTAAGCAAGCTACTCAAGTTGCAAGCCAGACGAAACACATGACCTTCGACCTAGCCTTGCAGTCTAAAGTCAGACATAGCGGCAGTCTGCGAGCAGAATGACAGCTCCGGCATCGAAGATCGATGCTCGCCTGCAATGAATGTAAAAGAACGTTGTAGCGAAAGGGACTGCAGCCATGCAAGGAGGATGAAATTGCCCTCGTGACTTGTCTGCTTCCGGCGTCATGCCAACCTGTCCAGTACAGATGGCCGAACTTGTCATAAGTTGAAGACCACTTGCCCTCAGGCTTCTCTTCCCTCTACTGCTCCGACATATCGAGAGCATCGTGCCTTGAAATTGCGAGCCTTCGGCAGAGTTTGTCGCTCTATCGTCGCGAATTGGCTGACAAAGTCCAAGCTTCATGCATCAAGGCAATGCCAACCAAAGTGCTTGGCAATGCGAGTTCCATTCTGGCCTTGATTATTGCCGCGCCGTAGCTTAATTTAAGGTTTGAACCAGCCACGAGCAAGCCACGGCAACGCCTACAGACTCTCGCATGATCGATTCGGACCTCCATGTCCGATCTCATACGCGTCAGGTCGATATGCTGAGCCAACTGATGTCCGAGCAGACGTCAGCATGCAGATCTGCCAAGCAGAGTGCTTGAAGCTGTCAGCCTGCGCAGGGATTTCTCACGACGGCACCTGGTTTGCAGTGCTTTGTTTTCTGGTTGCGCTATGGCTATGGGCAGACACAGCAGTCGTGCGCCGTTCAGTTCTGCGGCTGAGGCAGTGATTGCGATTTATGGACGGAGGAATGTAACTTCACGTCTCTCCCGGCAGGCAACTACACACTCATGCCTCCTGGCTTCATCTGCTGTAGCTGTTGCTGCGCTCGTACCGACCAAGCCAAACCAGTGCTGCAGAGGTCGCGGAGCTGCTTTACGACAGCAAGTGCCACAGGGTGGGCCGCCCCAGCCTGACAAGCTAGGTGAACTTGCAACGAATGCGACAGGTTTGGCTTGGTGCCGAGCCCTCAGAAACGAAGGAGTGACTTCAGGCGGTTCTTACGAGTTGGATAATTACAATAATTAGGTGCTCATATCTCGGCAATCGAAGCCCGAAGCAAGGATGGGCCGCCCCAGTGCCATGCGACGCTTGCGCATTGCAGCGCTGACTCCGCCTGGCCGCCGGGGGCTCAGTGACAGTGCTACCATGGGCGAATCTCAACCTTAAACTTGACTTGACTTGTGAACTGCCACACAATGCTTTTGTGGCAGTCGTCGTGTTTGCGGGTGATGAGGTGATGGCCGAGAAATGGTTAACGCCTGGCTCATATTTGTCGTATTGGCCTTAAGCTGTGAGCACTGACTGCTTCCGGCAGGCAGGCTGGCAGTAAGAACCGTGCTTGCAGGAATGGCTGAATCGCCGTGGCGGGCTTCAAATTGGCAGAGCCTCGGCATGGTTGGAGTTTCAGGAAATGCAGCTTGGGACGTCCGAATTCGGAAGATGAAGCACCTAGACTTCGAGGCTGCGAGGATCGTTCAGTCATGAGAAGAACCCTTCAAAAGCCGTGCAACGGAGCAGATGTCCGCTAAACGGAAGCTGGGGGGCAAGGAGCAAAGTATCTGCTTGAGCTGCTCCTGGCCGATGAGCAGGACAAAAGTTGCCCTGGAAGCAGGTGCCTCTGTGTTCGCTGTGTTGAAGGACGGATGGCAAATCGCCTCCGAAAATGACATTCCCTACCTCCTGGGTCCATGGAGACGCTTGTCGAGCATTCGCGGAGATGTTTATGCGACCGAGCATGTTTCACGGTGGATGTGCCTGATGGCGTGCATGGTGCACAACGCAGACTGAAATTATGGAACAGTCTGAATCAGGATCTTCCGGGGATCACGATGTCACCATCGTATCTTGGAGCTTCATGCTTTAGCTGCTTTGGGAGTTTTATGACGAAGTTGTCTTATGCATTGCACCACAGATTTTCGAGAAATCCCACTGCATGCCCGTCAGGTCACGGCGACCTCTGGCACAGACACCCATGCGCAGTTGCCCCAGGTGGGTCGCCAAATTGCCACAACAGCACAACTACCTAGCACCATGACTCTGCTGAAAGCCTAATCCGATTGCAGATCGTCTTGCGAGACGCCATTGCAGGCCTTCAGCGTTCGGAAGAACCTCACCGAGCGCCATACAGATCCTTGGCAGCCCTGGTTAGTTGTGTTGCCAAAGTGCACATCGGCTCTTCGTCGGTGCTCAGCCAGAGAGCTCGGAAGGAGATGACATGAAATCGGCCAGAGATACACACACACACATCTCTCTCTCTCTCTCTATCTCTTATATACATACATACATACATACATACATACCCATACCCATACCCATACCCATACTCATACCCATACCCATACCCATACCCATAATTACCCATACCCATACCCATACCCATACCCATACCCATACCTGCATGCACACAATCTAAATGAAGCACTGTCACCGCTCCGCGTCGTTTGCCCTCGGCCGCTATGGCAAGAGTTGCGAGGGGTATTTTCGCGAGCATATTCAGCCCAGCAGTCAGTGCAGAACTTTTGGGAAAGAAGGCAATGCTGCTGCAGAGCGTGCGCGGCGTTGGTGGTATCGCGGTGCTGACGGAGCCCGGCATGGAAAAGTAGCCGACTTATTGAGCATTGTGATGAACTGGACCTGGGCTGTTCTTGACTGGAAAGTCGCGGCTGTGACTCATGGCTCGTGTGAGGCTCTGTGAGGCATCACCGGAGCTCCTGAGTGAGTTGGGTCTCTCGGACCCATGGCGGCAGCAGGTTTTTACTAGCCGATACTAGCCGCTATTTTGTCTTCGGCCTCTGTGACGGTTTGCGAGGACTCAACTCGTCCCCCCACGCTCCGGAGAGAGAGACAGTGTTCTAAAGTTCAGGGGGGTTAGCACAGCGACCCGACCGTGCCTCATCATGTTGAGAATCTCAGACTGAGACGCGAGACCAGAGTGCATGCGTGCGCTAGGGGGTCCGCCCTCCCTTTTGCTGAGATGAAGAAGAGATGTCACAGACAGCATCCCGAAAGTTGTGTTTGGTACCGGACGCAGTCAGTTGAGAGATTCGGAAGGTCAGCGGTAGGTGGACATGGCAGCTCAGCGGCGCCAGCGCCGACTTCTTCGGCAACCTGGAAGGCTGGCAGCCATCGGAGAGGGAGGCGGTTTCGACTGCGGTGGCTTGTCAGACTTGCACTGGTCTGCACATACTCGTAGAGTCGTAGAGCAGTGTTCGACTGTAGTCTCGTTTAACTGTTGTCAACGCCAGTAGAACAATGACACTTTCGTTCGTCCAGCACTGAAGCGACCAGCAACTGCTTTGGCACTGAAGGGCAATAAAGGTCCGAGACGTTCGAAGCTTTTTGCCGTGTGTCGGTAGTTCTGGAGTTGGCATCTTGACCGGATGGATAGACAAGATTGACCAGATCCTTTCCCGGCCCCTCCGAATTGTCAGTGCCTGTGCAGCGACTCGAGAGACTCCGCCGAAGCTCGAACTCCTTAGACACCGCCCACTAAATCTCGACAAGCATGCGTCAGAAGTCTAAACGAGGTGCAAAGGGCAAAGGCCCTCAACAGCCCTGCCAGCTGCTAGCCATGACAACTTCTGAAGTGAACGCTGAGCGTGACAGCGGACGGGTTGACGTTCTCAGGGTCGCGGTGCCAATGCCGTTTAAATCCCGTTGTAGCAACAAGCAGAAGCTTTAGAAGTTTCTTGCCTGCCGGCAGGTGCGATCCTTCTAGCATGCCTCGAAACCGAGAACACAAGGAGGCCATTTCTTTCTGAGTTCACACTTTCTCCAGTAGAGCCTCGGCTGAAGGTTGGTCACAGAGCTCAAGCACCGAGGATGGGCCCCGAGCTGGCATTGCTAGAACGCGCGCTTGTTTCGTGCGTGCCACCTGCTCGATCGTACGCAGGCGTGTTTCCAGCCGCGGTGCTGCTGCCGTTTGCAGAGCTTTCGACCTTAATGACAGACATGGGTCAGGATGCGATCCTCGACTGTCTATTGCAAAGACTCTTCAACAGCGGATGTGTCGCTATTGTGGGTGCTTAAAGCTTGGTGAGACTTCGGGCTTCTCACTGGTAGGTCGAGAAGGTGCTGGCCTGTGGAGGCCATTTTAGTAGGGTAGGGCTTGTCTCCACGGCGAAACGGGAGTGGTATCCAAGTACTACTTCCACATCGCATCAACAAGCCTCTTGCAAAACCCCATTGCAGGGCATGGCTTTCGGCTTCAGTCACGGAAACACACGGCACCTTCACAACTCGACCAGCAAGACTTCTGACGGCCGCCGTCGTTATCATGTCTCATTTGCTTAATTGCCGGATTTCGATGCAAGGAACTGGCTCCTTGGAATGGGTTGTTGGGCCGCTGGTCCTGCGCACGGGCAGCCGGCGCTTAGCCTCAGGCCTCCACCTGCTTGGGTCCCTCAAGTGCTCGTGGCAGCTTCTCCTCGCGAGGATGGACTACACTCGCGCCGCCTTTGCGGCGGCGTATCAGCAGCGCTTCTTCGCTCCTCGTCAGCGAGAAATTGCTGGCTTCCCTCACTACTGTCTCCTGCACGGTTGCACAACCTCACAAGACTGACGACGCAACTCTTCAACTTGGGGCTTAAGGGCGGTAGAGCCTCCTTCCAGGGACGCCCCTGGTGCCTCAGTGCCGTAGAGATGCCG